ACATGAATCGGTTGAAAATTAAAATTTCTGTCCGAATAAAAACTCAATATGTGGAACTCAAAGATATCTACACAATAATACAAATTTTGGCCGAAGTATCATTGAGGCTTTACCGCTACCGGCTGAGCTACTCGGTTCTAAACTCGGTCGACGGTCATTTGCCAACCAGACAAACCTGGGCTACTGTCCGGCGCATAACTCGGTTAAAGCTTGGAATTTCTGTTAGAATATGAAATCAAAACGTAGAACTCAAAGAGATCTAAACAACGATACTATATTTGACTATTTTCGAATCCTGAGTTCTGAAACAGAGACCGTAAAACAACTAGTGTAACTAGTACTAACTAGTACTAACTTGTTAGCTCGGCTACTTTAAGGTCTTTGAGGTGAAACACATTAAAATACAAAGTTGGTATCTTTTTGTTGATTTCGTTAAGTTCTACATTTTGAATATTTACTCGAATGTAAATTCCAATTTTGAACCGTGTTATGCGTCGAAGAGTGGTCCAAATCGGCCGAATTTGCAACCGCGTATCTCAGTCGGTAAGAGTGCGGCATCTCTGCGACTTTGCCCGCGAGTTGAACTATTCAAGACGCTTCAAAAGGAACAAATTTATTTATATAAGCTCCGCGAAGAGTTTAATCTGTAGCAAACTTGGAGGTGCCGAAAAAATTTCTTCCCCTCTCCTTCAAGTTGAACTTTTCAGTGGTGGAACTATCTATCCTTCAACTCGTCAAACATCAACTTACCACTCTCTCCGACCTCCGTTTCACCAAAAAATTCGACCTACCAGTCAAAATCATTTTGAAAATGTACCAGCTCTGCTACCTTCTCATGTTGATAGTTGCCGTTTCAATCCTCCCCTCTCTAACAATCCATTTTGATTTGGATAATTTCCGTCGGCAATCTTTCGAATACTATAACAAAACTCCAATTGTTCTATGTGATGATATGTTCATTGCGGATCATCGCAGCTGGAAAATCTACACTCCATACATTTGCTCATTGATTTTTGGTGTAGTTTGCTCGGCTACTGGTGTTACTAGTGTCATAACTTGTCTGTTGATGATTTTGGAATCACGGAAGATTGTGTCAAGGGAGACACTGATTATGCAAAGGAATTTCACTGGCATTTTGATTTATCAGGTGAGAATACAAAAAATTAATTGTGGAAATTTGAAATTTTGCAGGCTTTGGTGTACATTATTTTCATCATACTACCAGTTGGAGTCATTTCAACACTGTTTTATGCGGATATCCATGTTCAAAGTATGTGATAAATTTTTTTCTGAAAATCGGAAATTCTGAAATTCTGAAATTTTGAAATTCTGAAATTCTGAAATTCTGAATTTCTGAAATTCTAAAATTCTGAAATTCTGAAATTCTGAAATTCTGAAATTCTAAAGTTCTGAAATTCTGAAATTCTGAAATTCTGAAGTTCTGAAATTCTGAAATTCTGAAATTCTGAAATTCTGAAGTTCTGAAATTCTGAAATTCTGAAATTCTGAAATTCTGAAATTCTGAAATTCTGAAATTCTGAAATTCTAAAGTTCTGAAATTCTGAATTTCTGAAATTCTAAAATTCTGAAATTCTGAAATTCTGAAATTCTGAAATTCTGAAATTCTAAAGTTCTGAAATTATGAAATTCTGAAATTCTGAAATTCTGAAGTTCTGAAATTCTGAAATTCTGAAATTCTGAAATTCTGAAATTCTGAAAT